GTGAGTAGTATTGATACTCTACTTGTAGTATCGATACCCTATGGTAAAGTATCGATACCCCTCTGAGTATTGGTACAAAAATGCATTTTACTACTGAAATTGAGGCCCAATCTTGAGACCATCACCTTTGGTATTGAGACTGAAGGGGAAGTATCGATACTCTCACAACAGTATCGATGCTCCCTACCTGAAATTCATAATTTTTGCCCTAATTCATCCAGTATCGATACTCAGACCCAAAAATAGTTTACTTAGGCTCTGGAAAATGCCTAAAATCACTCATAAGGCCATAATTTGGTTTTTAATCATGTGCTGAAGCTTCAGGGAGCTAATTAGGGTCATTAATTGTCTTAAAAACACATGGTTTGCATTAAATTCATCATCTATGGCTTAAATTAAGTTTAAAACCCTAAAAGTTCAAATACTCAAATCCTAGCAAATCATCATGTTTATGAAAGCCTTCAAACTCTAAAGGATTAGAAATACACTACCTTGATGTTTAAATCCCGAAATGAAGCTTCTTTCTTAGCGACACTCCTTCCCTTTGTGATTTGGAAGAAAACTCCTTTTTTCTTCTTCTTGCAAACAAGGAACCCATGCCTTGATTCATTAAATGATGTTGCTAGAGGGATTTAGAACGAAAATAAAGTAGCAAAGAGGCAAGAAATGGCTCAAAAGACTTACTTTTGATTTATGGAGCTTGGAGAGAAAATGTAAGAAAGGCCTGTAATACTAAACTAGGACCATTTTGTTTTTCTTAGTTTAATTTTATCAATATTTATGCCTGAGTAGAATATATATATATATATATATATATATATATATATATATATATATATATATATATATATATATATGTTTTAAATGATTTATGAAAACACACTAAATTGTCTAATCACTATTTGATGAATGGATTTATTTACTATAAATAAAACATTAATTTATAATTTTTAGGATATTAAGAAAATAGTTTAAGTTAAAATAAGAGTGTTTTAAAATGAAACAAAATTTTAAGTATTTCAATTCAATGAATGTTTGTTAAGTTGATGTGACATCTATGGTTTGTATTTCGAGATGTATACGGGCTGTAGATATTACACATTTTGAACACGATTTTGACCTCACATACAATGTCTCGTATGTGCCGATATTGCCTTAAATTTAAAGATAAGTTACAATATTACGCCTCTCATCTTATAAATTATGAAAAGTTTCAGATTAACTACCCGAAAAACTGCTCGAATATGTCTATCAAAGCATTTTAGCATATTCTTCGTGCACAAAACAAGCTTTGGAACTATTTTCAACGTGATTTTTAACATGCTTACAATATCTCGTATGTATCGATATTGACCTCAACTTAAAGATAAATTTCAATATTATGCCTTTAATCTTATAAATTATGAATTTTTTATTGACTACCCAAAAACACCTCTCGAACGTGCCTATAAACACTTGCGATCCGGGCTGAAAATCTATATAACTCGCATTCTATAGAACACGGGGTATGTTAAATACCACACGCGATAAATTGTCAAAATGTTTCAATATCTCGAGCATTTCACGTTGTGTAGAGCGCAAGATCGTTTATTAAAATATTAAATTATATTCTTTTAAAAGTGTTTCCACATTGGAGAAGACTGAGCCTTATAAAAATGCGAGGCTTTTAAACAAATTTTATAAAATGTGAGGTATTCATATGTGCCCAATTGAGGGTATTTTTCCAAATAATGACTGATGGGATATTTTTCTAACTAGTGAATTTTTGGATTTCTTTAAACTAATAACGCCAATATATTTAGATGGGCGACCAACCGAACTCAACCACCGCCCACTTTGTATAGGTTTAAACATGTGTCTTATGTGTGAGCACTTAACAACGGCAAAAAGAAAAGAAAATTACTCCTATATTTTAACTTTTCTAAAAAAAATTATATTTTTTCCCAAGATAAAATTTGACTTAGTCTTGAACTAAAAGCTAAAAATGTAATACTATTTGTCTTTGTAAATATCACATGTTATCCACGTAAATAATATAGTGTAAATTTATTTTTTTTAAGATTTTAATTTATTATAAGGTAATATATGTGTTTAATTTTAATCAAATATATGTTTAATTTTAAATATAAAAATTACTTATATCAACAGACAATTATTTGAACTTGAATAATTTGAGTAATAATATTTTTTTATGATTGATATTATTTCTTGAATTTATTACATTTATTTATATCCTTTCAATACTTGATACATTAGCTGAACAAACCTAATATTTAGGTTACTCCAAATAATTTTGAAAATAAAGAACCAATAGAAAAAGGACAGCTGAACTAGGAATATTAAGCTTCCACTGTAGCATCACCTTCATCTTTCCAGAAATTTGATCAACATTATTGACACTTACAGACTCCATGGATAAACAAAACCCAATTCATCCAGCTCGTAATAATTATAATCTGTTCTCTGATATTGTACCAATTTTCGGCCATATCCGAATGCTTCCCCTGCAAAATCTGCACTCCCCTCGGTGAAGACATATGCGATGAACCTAACCAATCCAAAAATATACCGCGTTTATCGTGGCTGTAGATATGTACGTTACTAGTAAAACAAGTAAAGATGATGAACAAGTTTTCACCTGTTTTCCTTTGGATTTTGTGTTGTTTCGGGACTGAAAGTTTAGGGGCAAGGACGTTGGCGGAGCATTTTCACCGGTAGCTTGAAGCAGGAGCTGGGAACGAATCCTTTTGGGCGTCAAAACAAGAGCATCAAATAGGCTAATGAACATGCCGGAAAGCCCAAGCAACACCAACGTGGCAATGATCACCAAAACAAGCATTAGCAATTCCATGGAGGATCTATGATGTTATCTTCTTGACTTTACATGGAGGATGATTTGAGGATTATATATATATACACATACACACATCAGTTTGGACTTATTAGAATATGGTATGACTACTTGGTAAGCGAAGTGGTAAAAGTGGTTGGGTTTCCCATTGTTGATCGAGTCCTTCATATTTTCCAACTTACTCAGATGTACGATAAAGAAGTTTATGGATTCGATATGATTTATAACTTAGTTTATTAACAAAAATATGTTCTTTTTGTTTATTTAAAAAATTATTATTAGACAGTAAATTAAAATTAAAGTAATTATAAGATAATATCTATTTAGAATTCTTTCATTTAATTGATAATGAATGTACAAATATCCCATTTAGCTACTAAGGTCATTTCATGGGTTTATAGATATTTCTTTTCTAAAATTAAGATTTCATTTTTTTAGGTATAACACGTATATTACCTTATAACCAATTAAAATCTTAAAAAAAATATAAAGTGGGGCTATGATAACAAATTTAATTAATAATATAAACAAGATTGTACACGAAATAAACATGAGAACTTTAACCGATAAAGAAGCAAATTCAAAGGCAGAGCATGAAAGTGTAAGTTCGGTACCAAACCCCTTACGAGTAAAACAGCTTCTATCCCTTGTCTTTACTACTTGCAATTTATTCTACATTGTAATTGTTTAAATTATGTGATACTCATTTCTTGATAAAAGAATGAACAATATTTCACGGAATAAAAAAAATTAAACTCAATTTTAAATTAATAAAATTAAGAAAATAATATTATTTAACAATATATTAGAACCTTAATTAATTTTAAAATTAAGATTTTATCATATCTAATGTTTATACATACACTTTGGAATATCTGTGTAAATTAATAAAGGATAAATGAAAATGTCATATTTTAACTGATATGGGCGACAGTACTGCAATTAGTAGGACATCTGGCTGAATTCTCGTGGCTTACAAAAATGATTGCTAATTTCAATAAAACAAATTGCTGCTCTGCAATATGCAGCGTTTTCATTCATTACGTTGGTGATACTGTGACCGTTGTAGTCAGATGTCGGAAATCATATCACTTAATACATATCACTTAATCTTTAAATTATTTTTTTGCTTTATTGTTCTTTCTTTTAATATTTAAACTATAAATTTATTTTAATTTTATAAAAAAATAATCAACAAATATATGATATATATATACCAATTTTTTAAAAGAAATTAGCAAGTGCATTCCTGCAAAATCAACCATATTGCAAGGTACCTGACATAGTGGCATTGTGTATTGTGCACAAATGTCACGCTTTTCTAGAAATTTAACAAATGAATTAGGACATTGTTTATTTTCATTGTACATACCATAATATTTACCATCTTTGTCGTACCTAATAATCCTCACCCTTTATCCAATTGCCTTTTAATCTCGTTAGTGAAATTTTTATAAACATATAAAACTTGAAAATTTACCAATAAAAGTGATAAAATATTTTTCTCCTTCAAAAGTTGAAACATCAAAAGACTCGCATATATCCATGTGTATAAATTTATAGTGGCTTTCTTGATTGTGTTTGATATTTTTCTCTTAGTAGAGTCTACAAATATTTCAAAGTTAGTAAGACTGTCGAGAAGTTCTTAATTTGAATCTAATTAAAAAATGTAGATATAACTCTTTAAATCTAATATCTTAAAAGAGAATAATACTCACAACCATTGAGATTACTCAATAAATTCATATAAATAATATATTTACAATCCAAACAATCTAAATATGATAATAAACAATAAAAAGATTAAGGAAACAATGAAAATGTTGCAAATGAGTCAATAATAGAGCAATTTCACCACCAAATTAATACTTGGAAGGTGAGTCTTTATTTTTAATCAAAGTGAAAGAGTATTATATGTAGAAGCTAAGGCGAATGGTTATACTGTTATGAAAGATTGCATAAATGGCAACTCATGGTTATACTGTTATGAAAGATTGCATAAATGGCAACTCCATGGCACTTCATGTGAGCAAAAGAGGAGGTCATGATGACCACCAACAAAAGAAAAGGGCACCCAACATCCGACGAAAATAGATAAAACAATCCATGCAAACATGAATTTTATCTTATGTTTGAACATACTCAATACCCAAACTTCCTTATCTTCCTACCAAAGATAGAAAATCATGAAATTTTATTTATGATGATAGACAAAGTACAAGCAGCAGCAAATATAAGCATTAGGTACACAGAAGATTATAAGGTCTCGGTTTAGTATAACTCCTAAGTTCAGAATGCGATAAAACAAAATTCGAGAATCATACATATTGAGAGTCATCCACAGTGGGAGCCTGTACGTCTTCATCGGGTGATTCCTTCTTGGATCCCATCTCCTTTTCTTTCCATCTTGCCCAAATCCATTTCAGTAAAAAGATATCACCAATGGCATATACCTGACCAAATCAACTCATTTGATAAGACAAACACCTAACCAACTAAAATGGTATTGGGAATGGAAGATAAAAACAATGCATTCAAGCTTAATATACACCATCAACAGCAATTTATTTACTATAATCGATAAAAAAAACACCATGCCAAAACGAACGTCATAAGCTACAGGAGGCTACCGTCGTTAGGATCCATTGGGGTTTCACCAAGACCCGAACGGACAAAATCCACTTAATTTGCAGTCTAAAAGATATGGGATTTTGGGAAGGATTCCTCCTTTGAACCAATGAAAGCGCAAGCCAACTATTATACTAGTCACCAGAGACTTATATATTTCTCCCATGTCCGAGATATATAAAAGAACTTACAAAAATTGAACGTACTTGTATTAAACACACACCTATTGCCGACAAATAAATCCGATTCCATACAACATAGCTTATAAAAAACATATCTATGTATCACTACAAAGAAAATATACCTTTAATGACACACGAACGATGACACACGCTAATTTATGACTTGCAAAAAATGTGTGCCATAAAAAATGTAATGTTTTTTAAAATCTGAACGATTTATGACTTACAATAATGTGTGTCATATTTAATAGTCATAATCCAAAAAATTTGTAAAAACATGGAGTACAGTTTTAATTGTGTGTCATCTGTAAAAGTCGTATTTTAATTTTCCCCCCATTATTTTCATCCTTTTCCATCTTCTTCCCCCTCGATAACAAAATTCACGTCGCATGCTTCCCCCATTTTTCTCTTCCACTTCATGTTCCAGGAATTGGGTCTATCAAAGGTTCCCATTCTTAATCCCAATATCCTCTCTTTTTGCCATTTTCTTTGGGAACGGAGGGTATGTGTAACATCCTCAATACCGGGTTAGTGACCAAATTGTAAAGTTTCAGAATTTGGTGACTAAAGTAGAAGAATGAAATAATTCAATGATTATTTGAATATATAATGAAGGTTATTTAGTAATTATTAAAGGAAATTAAGGGTATTATGGTCTTTTCCTTTAAAAGATATTCTTTCCCCTTTTATAAGAGTGAAAAACGTGGGAAATTTGAGAAACATCCAGAGTTCTCTTCTCCTTTCTTCTTCATACGTGGGAGAGCAAGGCAAAGGTAAGTTTAATTTCAGTTGGTTAATTCTTGAGTTTTAAGCTTAGTTTTGATTCTTTGGGTATTAAATAAGCTTAAGGAAAGCTTATATGGGATTTAAACAATAAGATAAAGGAATTATGAAGGAATTTGCAATATGAGTTTGAAGATGAAATTTTGATATGGTATGGTTGTTGAAGTTTTATGGATGAATTTGACTTGTCATCAATCTAATTAAGAAGTATGAAGTGTTAGAATTGGAATTAGAACACATTGAAAATTTGGTATGATTCTTGAATCTCATATGGAAGATAGGATTTTAAGGTTTAAGATGAAATAAATGAATATAGATTGGTTTAAGTATGTGTACTAGAGTTAAGAATGAAAAGGGGATGATATATGAAGTGTTTGAGAGGAAATGAAGTAATTTTCGGGTTGAAAATATGATTTCTGGGCAAGGGGAATCGGTACTCATTCAAGGGGAACCGATACCCCTTCAAACGAACAAAATTTCCAGAATGTCATGAGGGAATCGATACCCCCTTAGTAGGGAACCGATTCCCCCTAAAGGAAAAATGGGAATATTGGTTTAATAAGTTCGTTTAAGTTGCTAGTATCCAATTACAAGGTGTAGGTATCTAATAATTGTCTCAAAATGTACATTTATGTAGATTCTGCGCGTAAAGCAATTCCGGAACATTTGGCAAGTAAGATCGATCAAGGGAAGATAAGAGATTGGAATGGACTAGTGAGGCAAGGTGAGTGCATACTAGTGATATGTAGTGTTTAATGGAAATAAGACTTGCGATGAGTCTATTTCCTAGAGTAATATGCATGAAGTCATGGACATGATTATGTGTGGTTATAATTATATGTGATTATCTGTATTACATTGATTGTATGTATGCATGACTAAAGATAATGATATGCTTTGTATATGCTATATGATGTATGTAAGACTTTAATATGTAATAATGGAAGAACATGAGATAAGTTATATGATAGAGTCATAAGAAATGAAATGAACATGAGAGAATAAGATAATCAAGTATAAGTTATAGGATATGGTATAAGTGATTATACGAGAAATGTTAGGAGACTCTAAGAGAATAGTATGAATTCGAGGGCATAAATAAGGATACATAAGTAATATAGGGAAGATTGATAAATTAAAGGAAACTATGGTTTATGTATTATAGTGAAGAGCTAAAAAGTTTTATTAAAGAGTATTGTGGAAGTCATGAGAAATTGAACTAAATAAATAGATGGTTTATGTGAATAAAAAGGGAAAATGATATAAAATAAGTTATGAAATTATAGGAATATAGAAGATAAGTCGAGAGATGTAGAGAAATAGAAATATATGTTTATTAAGGGTCATAGGAGAACAAGTATATGTAATATGATAATGAAATATAAGACTATGTGGATACATGGTTATGAGATAAAATATGTAATAATAGGAAAATATGATGAAAGTGAGTTTATAAGAAGTGATATGAACTAGGTAAACATGGGTAACAGTATATGCATAATGGAAACATGAGTTGGACAAGTACCTAGTGGTATGATTTATTATGAGAATTAGTATAATGGAGCTATATGAAAAGATTATAATGAATATATGAAATTGAATTAAGTAAAGAGATTAAATTAGTACCTAAATAAAAATACTAAGATAATGATATAGGTTTAGAAATACAGCATAATTTATCATCTAAGGGAATACAAAGAAATAGAGCATGAGGTAGATAATATGATATCCGTTATTATATATCTATATGATATATGTCATCAGGTAATATGAAAGAACTCTGAAAATTGATATAAGCTAGGAGAAAGTGTTCTATGTGTTATATGAAGCATATATGATCATATGTGAACAAGACATGATATGTATGTTTATATGAATATCTGAGAAATGATCTAATCTATATGATATGATATGTGTGATTATGTGCACTTTGTGATATATGTTATATGATATGGATCTATGTAACTACGTGAGAAAGTATATAAGCTATGTGACATGTAAATGTGACTCATATGAAAATGTTCTATGAGTAATTGAACTATGTGTTATGTGAAATGATAAGTATAAAAGAAAATTCCCATGTTATGTGTCTTGAGAGCTAGGGGTATAGTTGGCATGCCAAGAGTAGAGGGTCTACGCGGTCCTTCGGGACAATATTCTACGCGGTCCTTCGGGACAATATTCTACGCGGTCCTTCGGGATATATATATATTCTTTGGAACATGTGTGAAGTCTGGTGAGACACATATATGATCCCTAGCATATGTATATGATTCTTAAGGAATTCTATGTGGTCCTTATGGACATCATTATATGGCACTACGGTGCAATTCTAGGCGGCACTTCAGTGCATTTATACGAGCTGTGGTGACAGCATAGTGCACAACCTCACAATACTCAGATACCTTAGGTTCTCAATATGGTATCATGGGCCAATAAACTCATTAATACAAATTCATGAATGCTAAAGCAATATGCTTACAGGTATGGATATTGGTGATATGAGAACAATGTATGTGATATATGTATATGATTTGTGATATGATGTGTGCATGACATGATATATCTGTGATAGGGGTAATGGTATCTGTTACATAATATGCACGAATATATGTTGATGTATATGTAAAAGAGTTGTAGAATTTGATAGCATAAAACAGTCATGCATGATTAGTGGGTATGAATTCCATTAGATGTGTTTTCTTTATGCCTCACTAAGTCTTCAACTTAGCGTGTGATTGTTTCACACGTAGGTTTCGAGAAGAGTAAAGAGTAATGTGGAGCAAGACAGGTCAGTTCTCCTTACCAAATGTCAGATCAGAAAATATATGTACTGTATATAGAGTGTAGTTGGCATGTAGTCTAAAGACATAAATTGTATGAACTCTGATATATATTTTGTAAACGTTTTGAATAAGTTAAATGTTATCAAAGTTTTTTTAAATTACTCACTATTTTATACGAATAAATGTTTGAAAAGTCAATGTGACACTTCGGACTCGTATCCGGATCGAATACGGGTTGGGGTGTTACATTTAATTGTATCAGAGCTATCCAAAGTGTCATAAAAGATGTACATGCCAACATAGATTGAAAAATTCCTGATCTGATAGTGTAAGGAATATGTTGCCTTGCTAATAGAATAAGAATAGTTTAATACAGTAGAAATCCGATTGTGATAATTTCGAAGTAAGTGAAAGGTGATATTCCTGATTGTGATAGCTATTCACCTGCCCTGGCCAGGCAGGATGAAGAGCGGACACCTCAGGAAATGCCTAGTAAGATCAAAAGTTGATTTCAGAAAGCTGAAATCATATCTGAATAGTGATAGAAAGTTTTCATCGTTTGGAATCGGAAACACGATATAGAGTAGTTTTGTTATTATGTGGATAAGATAGAATATGGTGAACAGGTGTCACCATAAGAATGTTAAAAAGATCTAAGGACGTGATGAGTACGTATAGAAGAACTCAAGGATAAGTGCATCAGTGACAAGTGTATAAGATGTATAAAGTCAGAGCTTATGAGTTTGAAACGAAGTGATAGTATTGCGCATAAACAAGAGTATGTTTATGATAAGGGTTTGCAGTCAAGATGGAAAGAGTTAGCATTGGCTAACTAGAGTATGTGATAAAAATGTACTGGAATTATAAGATTATACGATATTGTCAGGATATGATAACCAGATCTGCAATGGATCTGGATATAGTTGCATATTTGGATCATAGTAATGTGTTATAGTAAAGGAAAATGAAGTAAGAATTTGTATATTTAAGTAAAGCTGAGGATTGATAAGAAGAGTTTGAGAATGTGTATATCGATGATCAGATTATAGGACATAGGAAGTCAGAATGTTGAGTTTGAGCAAAAGAAATTTCAGGATGTATGAGAATAGAGGTGAAATTGATAAGTTGAGTAAGCGAATTTTGAGATCATTTAGATTGGAAAGGATGTATATGATTGGTATAATAGGGATTGTGCCTTAGATTGAACAAAGGTTATTATCTAGCTATCAGAGTAAAGGTGCTAGAGTTATAAGATTGGAGGAAAGATATAGTGGAGTTAATTGATTATGATGTGAATTTGAATATAGTTGTATATTCTGAGCAGATAGATATGATGTAGAAACAGAGATAAGTATTTGCATGGAACCTTCAGGAAGGAAAATACAAGTATAAGAAATGATAAAGAATGAAGTTATGTATAAGAAATGGGTTATCAGAGTAATGAGGATGCAATGAAGATTGGTACATAAAGATGAGTATAAGTGATAAGACAAGAGTATGTGAACATGAAAGGAAATATATAATTAATGTATAAGGAATAAAGAAATGAAAGGGATTGATTTAAAAGAATCAGATACGATAAATATGGAAGTATAGAGGACAATTTTGATATAGAAATAAGACAAGTGTGCAAGATGATGTGAAAATATTGTTTGACTCCTTAAAGTATATGTTTAATCACATTGAAGAAGATTTAAAGTTGTGTTTTGGTCAAATGATGACAAAATACAAGTTTGGTATGGTTATAAGGTAATTAGAGAGTTATGAAGAAATAGATGGATTTATGATATAGAGATGGATGTTACTGTCAACGTGATGAGTGACATTATATTGAATTTTAGAAAGGTCAAAGGAAAGATGCATAATCGAATAAGAGAAAAGACAACAATGGATTGGTATTACTGGTTATTGTTTATATGATAAGCAACAGAGGATGAATGTATAAAAGAAAAAGATAGTCGGAAAACTAAAGGATTAAAAAGTAAGTTTCTGATGATGACAAGAAAGAATAAGTCAGGGAAGCAACATAAGAACATTAGAAGATATGTTCTTATTAAGATGTGCAGTGAAAATTCGAGAATGAATTTTCTTATAAGGAGGGGAGATTTGTAACATCCTCAATACCGGGTTAGTGACCAAATTGTAAAGTTTCAGAATTTGGTGACTAAAGTAGAAGAATGAAATAATTCAATGATTATTTAAATATATAATGAAGGTTATTTAGTAATTATTAAAGGAAATTAAGGGTATTATGGTCTTTTCCTTTAAAAGATATTCTTTCCCCTTTTATAAGAGTGAAAAACGTGGGAAATTTGAGAAACATCCAGAGTTCTCTTCTCCTTTCTTCTTCATACGTGGGAGAGCAAGGCAAAGGTAAGTTTAATTTCAGTTGGTTAATTCTTGAGTTTTAAGCTTAGTTTTGATTCTTTGGGTATTAAATAAGCTTAAGGAAAGCTTATATGGGATTTAAACAATAAGATAAAGGAATTATGAAGGAATTTGCAATATGAGTTTTAAGATGAAATTTTGATATGGTATGGTTGTTGAAGTTTTATGGATGAATTTGACTTGTCATCAATCTAATTAAGAAGTATGAAGTGTTAGAATTGGAATTAGAACACATTGAAAATTTGGTATGATTCTTGAATCTCATATGGAAGATAGGATTTTAAGGTTTAAGGTGAAATAAATGAATATAGATTGGTTTAAGTATGTGTACTAGAGTTAAGAATGAAAAGGGGATGATATATGAAGTGTTTGAGAGGAAATGAAGTAATTTTCGGGTTGAAAATATGATTTCTGGGCAAGGGGAATCGGTACCCATTCAAGGGGAACCGATACCCCTTCAAACGAACAAAATTTCCAGAATGTCATGAGGGAATCGATACCCCCTTAGTAGGGAACCGATTCCCCCTAAAGGAAAATGGGAATATTGGTTTAATAAGTTCGTTTAAGTTGCTAGTATCCAATTACAAGGTGTAGGTATCTAATAATTGTCTCAAAATGTACATTTATGTAGATTCTGCGCGTAAAGCAATTCCGGAACATTTGGCAAGTAAGATCGATCAAGGGAAGATAAGAGATTGGAATGGACTAGTGAGGCAAGGTGAGTGCATACTAGTGATATGTAGTGTTTAATGGAAATAAGACTTGCGATAAGTCTATTTCCTAGAGTAATATGCATGAAGTCATGGACATGATTATGTGTGGTTATAATTATATGTGATTATCTGTATTACATTGATTGTATGTATGCATGACTAAAGATAATGATATGCTTTGTATATGCTATATGATGTATGTAAGACTTTAATATGTAATAATGGAAGAACATGAGATAAGTTATATGATAGAGTCATAAGAAATGAAATGAACATGAGAGAATAAGATAATCAAGTATAAGTTATAGGATATGGTATAAGTGATTATACGAGAAATATTAGGAGACTCCAAGAGAATAGTATGAATTCGAGGGCATAAATAAGGATACATAAGTAATATAGGGAAGATTGATAAATTAAAGGAAACTATGGTTTATGTATTATAGTGAAGAGCTACAAAGTTTTATTAAAGAGTATTGTGGAAGTCATGAGAAATTGAACTAAATAAATAGATGGTTTATGTGAATAAAAAGGGAAAATGATATAAAATAAGTTATGAAATTATAGGAATATAGAAGATAAGTCGAGAGATGTAGGGAAATAGAAATATATGTTTATTAAGGGTCATAGGAGAACAAGTATATGTAATATGATAATGAAATATAAGACTATGTGGATACATGGTTATGAGATAAAATATGTAATAATAGGAAAATATGATGAAAGTGAGTTTATAAGAAGTGATATGAACTAGGTAAACATGGGTAACAGTATATGCATAATGGAAACATGAGTTGGACAAGTACCTAGTGGTATGATTTATTATGAGAATTAGTATAATGGATCTATATGAAAAGATTATAATGAATATATGAAATTGAATTAAGTAAAGAGATTAAATTAGTACCTAAATAAAAATACTAAGATAATGATATAGGTTTAGAAATACAGCATAATTTATCATCTAAGGGAATACAAAGAAATAGAGCATGAGGTAGATAATATGATATCCGTTATTATATATCTATATGATATATGTCATCAGGTAATATGAAAGAACTCTGAAAATTGATATAAGCTAGGAGAAAGTGTTCTATGTGTTATATGAAGCATATATGATCATATGTGAACAAGATATGATATGTATGTTTATATGAATATCTGAGAAATGATCTAAGCTATATGATATGATATGTGTGATTATGTGCACTTTGTGATATATGTTATATGATATGGATCTATGTAACTACGTGAGAAAGTATATAAGCTATGTGACATGTAAATGTGACTCATATGAAAATGTTCTATGAGTAATTGAACTATGTGTTATGTGAAATGATAAGTATAAAAGAAAATGCCCATGTTATGTGTCTTGAGAGCTAGGGGTATAGTTGGCATTGCAAGAGTAGAGGGTCTACGCGGTCCTTCGGGACAATATTCTACGCGGTCCTTCGGGATATATATATATTCTTTGGAACATGTGTGAAGTCTGGTGAGACACATATATGATCCCTAGCATATGTATATGATTCTTAAGGAATTCTATGTGGTCCTTATGGACATCATTATATGGCACTACGGTGCAATTCTACGCGGCACTTCAGTGCATTTATACGAGCTGTGGTGACAGCATAGTGCACAACCTCACAATACTCAAATACCTTAGGTTCTCAATATGATATCATGGGCCAATAAACTCATTAATACAAATTCATGAATGCTAAAGCAATATGCTTACAGGTATGGATATTGGTGATATGAGAACAATGTATGTGATATATGTATATGATTTGTGATATGATGTGTGCATGACATGATATATCTGTGATAGGGGTGATGGTATCTGTTACATAATATGCACGAATATATGTTGATGTATATGTAAAAGAGTTGTAGAATTTGATAGCATAAAACAGGCATGCATGATTAGTGGGTATGAATTCCATTAGATGTGTTTTCTTTATACCTCACTATGTCTTCGATTTAGCGTGTGATTGTTTCACACGTAGGTTTCGAGAAGAGTAAAGAGTAATGTGGAGCAAGACAGGTCAGTTCTCCTTACCAAATGTCAGATCAGAAAATATATGTATTGTATATAGAGTGTAGTTGGCATGTAGTCTAAAGACATAAATTGTATGAACTCTGATATATATTTTGTAAACGTTTTGAATAAGTTAAATGTTATCAAAGTTTTTTAAATTACTCACTATTTTATACGAATAAATGTTTGAAAAGTCAATGTGACACTTCGGACTCGTATCCGGATTGGATACGGGTTGGGGGTGTTACATTATGGCTTCCCCACTATTGCTTTTGGTTACTTCTTTCTTGTTTCTCGCCACGGTTCACCCAAAGGTATTTCCGATCTTTCTTTCGTTTGCATTCGATTTTTCTTTCATTTTTCTGGGTTATATATGTGTGTGTAGATTTGATATTGTTTTTGACTTCAATAAATGGTAATGATATATAAGAATAGTTTTCAGTATTTTAGTTTGAAACTCTTAAATCGGTGACATTTTTGAGATGATAGTGGTGAAAAGCCGATTGTTCCTTTTATTAGTTAACCATGTGTTCGATGAAAGGATATAAACTATTTCAGTATAAACTGAAAACAAAAATGGTTTTCTTTGGGAGAATTCAGGTGAGCTTATTCGTTGCTGGTAGTTTTGTTTTTTATGTATATTTGCCAATTATGGCTTTGTTGGCTAATAAACTATTTGATTAGATTATCGTTCAGTCCCCAAAGTTGGAATTTGGACTTAGTTGATACTGTATTGTCAGCAGGTGATTGGTGTGGAACAACTTTCAGAAGTCAAGTTTAACTCTCAGATCCTTCAGGTATTATCTCAATTTGAAGTGTTGAAGGAGGGGAAAATGGTTTCAATTTTTTAATAGAGTGCGATTGATTCATTACTCTGACTATTATCATGTAGGATTCAATTGGAGGAACGACAAAGTTTTCGAAAAAAGTAATAGTAAAATCGTCTTTCAATTCGTTTAGGGTTTCAAACTTTAATCTCATGTAAACTTTCTTTAATCTCTTTTCATTTCCGTTAAGAGTTTTCCTTCTGTTTTTTATGTTTGGTTCTCGAGAAATGTAGGTAGGAAAAATAGAGAGAGAGAAAGAAGACGTAGTTGTTTAATGATTCACATTTATAATTCTTGAACCTCAAATTATTTAAAATTAGTAAATACTGAAGCTCGGTTAGATTACATTGCTTAATTTGATTAAATTTCTATGTTTTCGCCTTCTTTTCATGGAAATAGAGAGCAGGCCAGCCCGAGATAGTTTATTTCCAGTTCAATTTTCTTTTGGTTTTTTATTTGATTTCCTAGTTGCATAAAAAAAAATTTTCCCACTGAATTTGATGATTTTAAGGTGTTTATATGATAATTTTATGTTAATTTGGAAGATGACGCTGGTTTATTACACTGAAACCCAAACTCTGGGGTGAAATGCTTTGCAAACTAGGGTTTTTTGAATGGTAGAAATGGGTCTTGAGGAGGGGACAAGAAATGGTGAAGGAACAGAGAGTGGGGAGGAAATTAAGTCCTCCAAGAGTAAACCAGTGGATAATGGGTTTGGATACGAATGTATGAATGATTCTGGTGTTGGATGTTCAGGAGCAAGTGAGAGTTTTCGAACATATAAGAGACGCAAACAGTTAAGTTTGACTTCAAAGGTCAAAGTGCTAGATGGTGGGAAAGCATTGGCAAACCAGGTAGCTTTTGATAAACATGTTTGAATATGTATGTTTGCAGTTGTAGCTGTTAACTTTCTTTTGTTATTGTAATGTATAATGTTGAATAGGCATGGGCTTATTTCGGTACTTTTCAC